CAAGCTCTTGTACCATGTCATAGCACCCTTCCGCAGGGTCGTCGGGAAGAGTCTGCATTTGATGGCTCCCCGGACGTTGCGGTAGTCAAGCATAGCCTCGATATCTTCCAGGTGATCATCCGAGTCCGAGGTGCTGTCGTACGTCGAGAGCATAGGTGGCTTTTCCATCCCGTGGGGATGGGAGCTGCCATGATCTCCCGAGACAAAGGGGTCTTGTAGTCGTCCTCATCGCTGAGAATCCGGGACGGGGGAGGTGAAGGCCCGTGTCTAGGAGGGGGTTGATTTCGTACCCTCGGTTTCTTGACCGGGGGTTCCGCCCCCGTCGTCCTCGACTCCTGGGTTCACTTCTCTTTCCTGGTCGGCGACCTCGCCCGCTTCTTGGAGACAACAGGTTGGGGCATCTCCAACTGTGGTCGGCGACTTCGTGGACGAGGTGATGGACTCCTCGAGGTCCTGTACTGCTCTTCCTGCGGATGGGAGCGGGACGGGGCCTCGTGTTCAAGCGCGCCAATGAGATGATTCTGATGGAACAACATCTGATTTGTCTGGTTGATGGCCGTGAAGAGGGCGACCATCGTCGGGTCCGCACCATCCAGAGTGGGGATAGGCTGGAACACTGTCGGGCTTCTTGTCCGAGGAACTTCGTGGTGCAGTGTGCCTTCGGGGGAAGGGGAGGCAGTCTGGCCGTCCCTGACGTCGGTCTCACGGAGTTGAGATGTCCCTATGTGACCGTTGTCGTTGGCGGCGGAGACGATGGAGGAGTTGTGAACAACGTCATCATGGCGTGGGCTAGTCATGATTCTGAAGTGTTGAGAGGTGAAGTTTTGGTTCTCTGCTCGAAGGAACGGGGAAGCTTAGTCCCCACAATCAGCGCCACTGATCTGACCTGATCAGAAGGAAATCACTGGACCGCCACGTGTCTTTAATCTATTGTCTGTTCACCGGTGGTAAGAAGGAGGACGGGGTGTACCTGCAAGACACTCCGATGCCAAAGTGAGAGAGGACAAGAGTGAAGCAAATATAGAGAGAAGGTTGAGAATTGAATTGAATTGAATACCTGACCCTCTAGTGAAAGAGGGTATTTATAGTGAGACCCCAGCGCAGGGCCAACGGTCAGTTGAGTTGGGCTGGATGGCCAGGCCCAACCCAAGTGACTGCTAGGGCTTACGTGACATAGTGAAGACTAGGACGTGGTCTTTCCCCTAGGTCAACTGCCCTGTGATCTCCGGAAGGTGGGCTGACCTGCTCTTTTGGAGGTGGGCAGTTGTCTGATGATGTGTCCCCGCGGAGGGGAGCACGTGGGAGACACACGTCTTTCTGCCTGACGGGGTAAGCGTTCTGCCCGGCAGGGCAATGTCTGGTCGACGGGAGCCTTGTGCTCGACATATATGAGGAATGCTCCTTTGGGTTTTTCCCCAAGTATAGGTGGAATGGGCCTTCCCGATCAGGTCGGAGCCCAGGCCAGAACAATATATATATATATATATATATATATATATATATATATATATATATATATATATATATATATATATATATATATATATATATATATATATATATATATATATATATATATATATATATATATATATATATATATATATATATATATATATATATATATATATATATATATATATATATATATATATATATATATATATATATATATATATATATATATATATATATATATATATATATATATATATATATATATATATATATATATATATATATATATATATATATATATATATATATATATATATATATATATATATATATATATATATATATATATATATATATATATATATATATATATATATATATATATATATATATATATATATATATATATATATATATATATATATATATATATATATATATATATATATATATATATATATATATATATATATATATATATATATATATATATACCATTCTCTCTCACACAAACATAATTTTAAATAAAATATTCAATAATGAGACATGAAGATACTATATAAGAGATTATCTTGAGTTTTCAAGATATATAATAAAATAATACATTAAGCTGTCAAAATTAAAGAACTTAATTTACCATAGTCATGTTATGGTATATTAAAATTAATGATAGCACGTATGACTTCTTCCTCAGAGTATCACATTTTTCATATGTTTGTGAATTTCAGCCGTGATGAGAATGTTTTCTTCGTCCGGGGTGGGTGTGGTCTTGATTGAAAATATGCTTCATTTCTCTTCAAGAATAAAAAGATCGTTGATCAAAATTAAATAAATGAAAAAAATTATAGAATGGAAACAAGTTTTTAAAAAATAGTATGTTTGAGAAAGTGATGTAATTTAAAAAAAAAATAAAAAATAGAAGATGTTTCTTAACTAGTGTCACAAATGACGGTTAATGAAAGTTATAGATAGAAGTTTTTTTTGAGAGATAGAAGTTAACTATTCAATTGGTAACCAACAAAAGTTACCAACTACTCATGTTATTTATAAAAAAGATAAAGGGCAATTTTGAAGGAAAAAAAATAGGTCACGCTAAAAACTTGTATTCCTTTATATATATATATATATATATATATATATATATATATATATATATATATATATATATATATATATATATATATATATATATATATATATATATATATATATATATATATATATATATATATATATATATATATATATATATATATATATATATATATATATATATATATATATATATATATATATAGTTATAGATTTCTAATTTCTCATTTTTCTTTTTCTTTTTTCTTTATTCAATTTTAAAATATTTTTTACATTTTCCCTTTCGTTTTAAATTTCTCTTTCTCCATTTTCTCTTTTCTTTTTTATATTAATATAAATAAATTAAAAATTGAATGATATTATAATGGAACGAAGAGAAAAAAATGATTAAGTTTTCAAAACTCAAAATCTTGTCACAATTAAAAACATAATTATTTTATATTATTAAAGTTATTCATAATTATTAAAATATAATTATAATTATAAAATTTATAAATTATTTAATTAAATTATTCAGCCAATTAACGAGTCATTACTTATTTCATTTTAATTTATAATTGTCTTAATTTAAGAGATAAAAAAATTTTAATCAATAATTATCTTAATTTAAGAGATAAAATTTTTATTTTTAAATGTCAAATTTTTTTCTTTTTCTATCTCACGATTTTTTTATGATTATTTAATATAATTAAATTTATATGATCAATTATTCATTTTACAATTAAATAACTCATTTTAAATTTATATGTGTATCTAAATGCATTTTATATTTTATCAAACTAGATAATATTCAATAGCAGTGTAGACAACTAACTTTCCATCTCAGAGATAAACATCAGGATAATATCTATTTTATTTTAATCAACTATTGTCTACACCGTTAGTTGTCTACACCGCTATTTAATAAAATATTATCAGGATAAAATGTGTAAGTAACTAATTAAAAACAAATACTCCTTTTGTCCCAAAATAATTGTAGCATCTTATAAAATTATTTGTCCTAAAATAAGTGTCATATTTTAGTTTTCAATGCAATTTTAATGTTTATTCCAATTATACTCTCTAATTAATACTCTCAATTTATCTTTCTCTCCTTCTATATTTTTAATAATTTAAATACACTAATAATAAATAAGAATAATTTAATAAAAATATTATTCTCTTTTATTTTTTATAATTTTTATTCTCTTTTATTCATTATAGTTTTTTAATCTTGTTAAAATGACGAATTATAACAATTATTTTGATATTTCTCTATGATCTATAATCACCTAGGACTTATAAGGAGGCCAGCTATTATGAAAGGCTTAACTCGACCTGCAATGAAAAAAAAATTATTCTGTTGCAAAATTGAGTATAACAAAATCATATTCTATATTTACACTAAAATTTAATATCAATACTTACATCAGTATTTATAGGTTAAATTATATATTTATAAATTTATTTAAATAAAATATATTTTTATAATAAAATTATTTTATAATATAAATATAAAGTTGTATAGTTAATCAATTGTATTATTATAATAATTATAAAAACAAATATTATTAATTACGTATTTTATTTTAAAAATTTCAAATTTTATTATTATTTAGTGTTATCAAAAATATATTTGATAGTAATAATAATATTTAAATATTTTTTTTAAGAATTTGTCTATATAAACTGCAACCTCGTCCAAAGTATAATTTTACACTACCTAAATTTATTAATATTTGTTATTTTATTTCTTTCTTAATTTCTTTAATTATGTTAAAAATATACGGTGATATTTTTATAACATGCAAATTATTAAATCTTTCTATTTTTTTATAAAAAACCACAAATTTAAAAAATATTCATCTAATTTAAATATTTTCTAAACTATTTCTTTAAAACATAAAATATATATATATATATATATATATATATATATATATATATATATATATATATATATATATATATATATATATATATATATATATATATATATATATATATATATATAATTTATCTTGAGATTTCTATTGCCGCCTTAAAAATACATATCACATGTGAACCCTGACCCATGAATAAAGAAAACATTAAATATCACATTTCGAGGATTCGCATGAAATTTGTTCACTTATATGAAGGTTTAGGAATTTGTGTCTTTGAGATTTGAGATAGTTTATAATTTAGTTCTGGTAGCAAAATTGTATAAGAGTTAGCAGATTATTTCATATTTTAATAACCCTCGGTTACATATAGAAAGATAGTCTTTATTTTACTTTTTAAATCTCTTAATAATTGCTATTGTTGTTTCGATCAAGTTGTAGATATTTATTTCCTCTTGTCGAGTTTTATTAAATTAGTTAAAAAATCTATTATCACTATTATTCTTACCATTCATTCAATCTTATATAAAGAACAAGTCCTTACGTATCAAAATCATAAACTAAAGGTTTTGTCATTTTACAATAAGCATGTTAGATTCTACACCAATACTTTGTGCACTCTTTTTCTTCCTATTCATCATCTTCAAAATCCACCGTAGAAAAAAATGTTGGAAATATCCCATTTTTAGTGATTATCCTTTTCTAGGCATGTTACCAACAATCCTTTGGAACTTATGGAATATTCATGATTTCATAACCGAGGAACTGAAAAAGCACCCTAGAGGCACTGCTGAGTTTATGGGACCTTGGTTTACCAACATGAACTATTTGATCACCAGTGATCCCATGAACGTGCATCACATGATGAGCAAGTGTTTTGACAACTATGTAAAAGGTTCTGAGTTTCGTGATATTTTTGAAGCCTTTGGAGATGGAATATTTGTAGCAGACTCAGAAACATGGAAATATAACAGGTCGCTTTTTCGCTCCGTTTTTAAGCAAAGAGGCTTTGAGCTTTTTCAAGAGAAAATCATTCAAAACAAGCAGGAAAGAAGCTTGATTCCTTTGTTGGATCATGTTGAACAACAAGGGTCGGTGGTGGATTTGCAAGATGTATTCAGTCGCTTCACATTCGACAACATTTGTTCTGTAGTTCTCGGATGTGATCCGAATTGTCTTTCCATTGAATTTCCTGAGGTTGCTTGTGAGAAAGCTTTTGACCAAATTGAAGAATGCATATTCTATAGACATGCTATGCCAAAAAGTTTTTGGATGTTTCAAAAGCTTCTTCAAGTTGGTCATGAGAAAAAAATGACAAAAGCATATAAAGAATTTGATCAATTTATATATGCAAATATAGAGTCCAAAAGAGAGGAGCTTAAAAGAGGTCTAAAAAATATTGAAACGGTTGATTTGTTAACAACTTTCATGAAAGTAGAGAAAGAGTCACAAGTAGTTTTACATGATGATAAGTTTCTAAGAGATGTTGCTTTCAATCTCTTTGTGGCTGGGAGAGATACAATAACTTCAGCACTAACATGGCTCTTTTATCTTATTGCAACACATCCTTTAGTAGAAGCCAAAATTCTTGAAGAAATTAGAGAAAATTTTGGAGCCATTAAAATTGGAAAAAAATTAGGAGTTGATGAGGTGAAAAAACTAGTTTATCTTCATGGTGCTATATGTGAGGCTGTGAGGCTTTTTCCTCCTATACCTTTTGAGAGAAAGCAAGCAATAAAAGATGATATACTTCCAAGTGGTCACTTTGTTAATCCTAATACAACTATATTATTTTCTTTGTATTCAATGGGGAGAGTTGAAGAGACATGGGGAAAAGATTGCTTGGAGTTCAAGCCAGAGAGATGGATATCTGAGAGAGGAGGCATTGTTCATGAACCATCTTATAAGTTCATTAGTTTCAATGCTGGACCAAGAACTTGTTTGGGAAAGGACTTGTCATTCATTCAAATTAAGATGGTAGCAGTTGCTATTTTGTGTAACTATCATGTCCATGTAGTGAAAGGTCATATTCCTATCCCAAATCTTTCAATTGTACTTCTTATGAAGAATGGTTTGAAGGTTAGGATAAGAAAGAGAGAAAGTTGATGGAGATATTCCTATGACATATTTAGAAACTATTGTCTCTTATGTGTGTATTAAAAAAATATATGAATGCTTAGTTTTTCATTTTCGTTACACCTCTCTTTCATTTTCTTTTTCTCTAATTCCAACATCAATCTCTATTATTGTTTAGTGATAAAATTTAAATATATGTTAAATATATTTTGATATTATATTTAATTTTATATATATTTGAAATTGTTTACATTTATTTATTATTATATTTAATTTAAATAAAAAATTAATTTGATAATAAGAGTAGTATATGCAAGAAATAACTTTATAATCAAAAAGGTTTTAATCCAAAAATATCTTTTTTTTTTATATTATTTTTATACTACAACTGTTATTTTATTAAATATTTTAATTAATTTATCAATTATAATTATTGACTATACATTTTAACTAATCATCAATTATAAACTATCATATAATAGTAATTTTTATATAAATTATTAACTATTGGGTATTTTTGCAGTCTAAATGAACTCCTTCGATATACTATCAATATTGTACATTGTATTAAAAAGTATTCTATAAAATGAAAAATATTTATATTTATCTCTCTATTGCAAGTGAAGCTTTTGGAAGATTGTGGAGGTGGGAAAGTCTAGTCCATATGGGGCCAACGCCTAATTTAACATTAATAATGTAATTTTGGCTTTTTCTTTAGAACAATAATTTAAGTGAGGCTCATTAATAATTTTTATTTATTGATTTTTTATGGCGTGCAATTTGAGAAAATTTTACCTAAATATTTCACTATTTTAAAAAGAAGATTAAAATAACCTGGTTTTTAAACTATTTCTTAAAGTACTTTACTTTTGAGTATTAAAAGAATGTAAGCGTTAATTGGGATGACGATTTTTCACAAAGATCAGGTGTTGTCGTTAATTGGATGGAGAAAACACATAGTGTTATCAATTCAATTTGCGACACAATATAAATGCTACAAGGGTGTCGCCAATTCAACTGGAGATATGTTTGAAAGTGAAATTTTTTATAAATAGAGGTGTTCTGATCATTTATTTTCACAGCTCATCTCATATATTTGTATTACTGATAACATGTATTGTCGTCGCTATGGGAAAGTGATCTATTCGAGAGGGAAGCCTCTGATGGATATGTTATTTTGGAACATTCAAAGTTTTAACCAACTAAAGAGGAGTTGAACCGATGCTTAGAAGGAGACATTCCTGAAGGAGAAAAAGTTAGAAGTATCAAGAGACATGATCGCTTGCGTGGGTGGGTTCGCGTTAAGACTGACAAGGATGTGTGGGAAGTGATGTTTGGACCGAATGACATCAGTTTGATTGTTTTAATCAGTTAGAAATATTTTGTTTTTCTGTTTCGCTATCTGTTGTATGTGTTGTATGTGTTGTTTGTTGTTAACATTGTTGTAACAAAAACTCATTAATATATGAAAATATAAGGTTACAACAATTGAAAGGAGAAACTAAATTATGATGTAGAGGTCGCTCCGACATTGGGACAATTTTTTCGATTGTGTTCGGGCTGATGACATATACTGCATAATCCTATCATTTTATCAACCGTATTCATTTCTGTTCTTATACACGTGTTGTTTGAGCGTCCTTTTTCTTTCTTTGCATCTCATCGTTGTGTCAAACTTTGTCCTCTTGGTATGAAGGTCAATATTCCTCCATTGCTAGCACTACGAAGCCTTCGTTGTAGACATTTATAATGTTAATGACCTTGTAAACATCAGATAGATGGCTATAAGCATCCTGACGAGCATGTACGCGTGTCGTAATGACATGTGAGGAAGGTACGCAGAAGGCCTGGTACTTGTCACAGTCACACCGACATCTGATTAGTTTGACAGCATAGGATAAATTTGGCCTCCCCTCATTATGGTCCATTATTTCCTGTACATTGAAAGTTTGCCTATGACGATCAAAGACTGTAACTACATGTGTGTTGGCTTTAATAATTTCCTTTTTCATCACTTTCATTATGCTTTCACTGAATAATTAACCCAACATTAACATTGCACTTCATCTTTGGCCTCTAGATTCAAAAAGTGATGCCAAACTATAATAGATTGATCTCACCAATGCGGTGATTGGAAGGTTTCTAATTCCTTTGAAGACGTCGTTCATCGATTGCACAAGGTTTATTGTCATGTGGCCCCAATGACATCCACCGTCAAATGCCCTTGTCCACCTGTCCAATAGAATGTTATCCAACCACCTTCCTACATCTGCATTAGACATCCCAATTTCGTTAAGGTAGTATTGAAATGATGGTTGAGTTAGAGCATACCCTGCATTCACAATTTTTTTGCGAAGGTTCTTGTCTTTGATTGCACGCATGAAGTTTTGTGTGATATGTCTAATGCAATATACATGGGTAGAAGGAGGATTATGCCACCCGTTGTCATGGTTATTGTAAGCACTCTCAATAGCAGCATGCCTGTCAGAAATCAAATAGAGATTGGCTTGTGGCATACCAGAGATCAAACAGGGATTGCAATATACATGGGTAGAAGGAGGATTATGCCACCCGTTGTCATGGTTATGGTAAGCACTCTCAATAGAAGCATGCCTGTCAGAAATCAAACAGAGATTGGCTTGTGGAGCCATATGTGTTCTAAGATTCTTAAGGAAGAAAATCCAAGCAGCAGCGGTCTCACCTTCAACTAGAGCAAAGGCTATGAGAAAGACATTATTATTGTCGTCTTGTGCAATAGCCATAAGCAATGTGCCCTTGTATTTTCTGTACAACCATGTTCTATCAATTTGAATAATAGGTTTGCAGAATGCAAAACCTTTTATGCATGGTTGAAACGCCCAAAAGAGTCGGTGAAATATGGCATTTCCATCAACAATAGTTCCATCTGGCCTATATGTCGGCACTATCTGCATGATTGCAACAGTCCCCGATGTGTATGTCTTAAGTGCTACCAAATATCGCAGTAACTCTTTGTAAAAATTCTCCTAGTTGCCAAATACCTGTTCAACAACCTTTGTCCTTACAATCCATGTTTTCTTGTACGAGGGAGTTTAATTATACCATGTAACAATATGAGAGATTATTATACTCACCTTCACAGATGGATCCCTGTTAACAGGAAGAAAAATGTCTTGACATATCATTTCTGCGCTTAATTTTGGTGATCCTGAACAATATTTGTGGCAGTGCAACTATGACGTGGCTCTGTGGAAGCTATCTTCCAAGAATCACTTTTCTTGCTAAAAGACGCAGCAAGCCGAAACTTGTAAAGCTCGTTACAAAAAATAATGGCATACCTTCTCGAATCAATTTCATGTACGCTAAAATCAACAGAGTTATCCATGTGATATTTTTTAATGGACCGTACACATTCTTCCTTGGTACGAAACTTGTCTCCCACTTTTAATTCATTCTTTGACCACATATACGGGTTATAAAACATATCTGAGGATCTCTTATCGTCTTGCAAGTCCAAGTCTTCCATATGCTAAGGCGGACAATATACATGACCTAGAGGTATTGGCACTTGTTCGTCATCTTCAATGGTGTTGTTCAATAGTTGATCGACCAACGTCTATCTTTCTTCTTCTTTGTCATCAACGACGTTGACCTCCAATTCGGTTTCATCTGAGTATTCTGTTTTGGTTTCATCTGAGTCTACACGTTCTGATTGATCGATGATCTGAGACTGCTGAGATGGAATATTTTGTTGGAGTAACGTATACAACTCAATATAGTTGAAACCAGAATGTTCGTAAATAATGAACATATCTTCAACATCTTCATCATCTCTCACTTTAAGTGGATAAAGTTTAGTGTAATTGGTTTTTAAAAAATCTGGGTTTTGATATATAATTTGTGATATAGAACCAAACCCTAATTTTGATTCCAATCTATCTTTGAAATGCAAGAAACTTGTGTTTCTACTGATTATGAATCGGAACATTGGTGTTTTGAAAACCAAACCCAAATACATCAGAGGCATATGTCTCTTCGTTGTAGTGGGCGTTAACAATGTATCTCAGTGCAGATGACATCAAAGACTTCTTGTTAGAGAGTTACTATATTTGTTTCCTTCATATGATAATGCATGAGGCTGGTTAAATATGCATGGAGAATTTAATGAAGTCTCCAAATAAATTGGCGACAGGGTACATTTTTTGAAATGGGGCGCCAATTCAAATGGAGACATGGTACAGTCTGATCACACATTGTCGACATGTGATTATCAGCCTGCTATGCATGCATGGGACATGTCTCAGCCTATTCATGTACCTAGGAGTCTCTAAATGGACTGGCGGCTCTTACTAAGCATTAAACATGGTCGCCAATTTATGTGGCGCCACCTTGCTGCATGAACTTTGTTGCTTTAGTCACATGCATGACTTATGTTCCTATATAAATTCAGCTAGAGGTATTGTTTTATGAATCATCAGAAACATTTTATCATAGATAATCAAGTCTAGCGTGTCACTAGTATCAGAAACATTTAATTAACTAGAATGTCTACATTGACAATGGGTGAAACGCATAGAGGCATTGTCGCTAATATTGAGACTTATGTAAGTGTTTACTCCACTAAGTGTTTTTTTTCTTTATTGACAATATGTAAATGTGTACGTGTTAATTTTTTTTCTAAATAGACAATGTGTTATTGTACTTGTTTATTTTTTTGTAGGATGTCTCTAGGTTTCGCCCTTGTGCCCATGAATATGTTGCCCCCGACGAATTAATTGTACCTTATATTGAGCTCTCTGATTTCAAACATGTAAGCAAAATCATGTCTTTCTCCATTTATGCAAAGTTTATACTAGCTTTACAAGAGAGATGGCGTCCAAAGGCACACACCTTCTATTTTCCAACCGGTGAATGTACCGTGACGTTAGAGGATGTATACATGTTACTCGGTTTGTGTATTAATGGTAAGGCGGTCAATGGACCAATAAACCTTTATAGTTCAATTTGTGAGGAACCTTTGGGTGTCAACTTGTTGGATGATAACCCAAGAG